GTAGGTGACTCAATGTCGTCTTAATTCCGAGATGTCCTCCTGTTAAAGTATCATGGGATTGACGCAGCACAACTTCCGTAACTTTCTCGGCATAACCGTTTGCTAAGTCGGCAATTTCCCATCTGTAGTTTCCCATCTCCGGAGAAGAATACCATTTTCAAGCTCTAACTGGTCCCACTGTGCCCAATAGTGCTTTGTCACAGGGCTTAGACTAGACACCTTCTCCCAAGTAGGGCGCAAAACACATGTTTTTAGAAAATCAATCATTGGCTTCAAATCATGGTCTTTCTCCTGTTCTGCTTTGATATCTATATTTGATCCCACTTCTGACACCAATTTGTTACGCCTCCGATCGTTAGTTAATTTTCCGTAACTTCGTTCCGACGAAACTTTAGCGACACAAGTCCTTTCTTAAATAAAACTGGTTTATTCTTTCCGAATACAACTTTACATACACTTAATTTCAACAGTCGCGCTATAATTCTCAACGAATGTCTCACGTGCTCGAGTTCAATTACACACTCTCTGACTGCAGTTCAATTATTCACTACTACACTGTTGTCCCGTCACGTTGTGAACCATCTTATATATGCCAAACTACCCCCAATCTAGTAGTCTCCCGATAATTCACGAAGGTTCGAGAAAAGGACGTGGCGTGATACTAGTCACGTGACCTTGGTGACGCAATAATACATTCAAAAAAGAGTAGAATATAAATACAATTTTCAGGATTTGACTTTAAAAGTGAACACAACCAATACAATGCCATTGTTTGTTCAATTTTGTCTGGAATGGCATATACAGCATCTTGCATCCAAGCTTTTCGTATATTTTATGGATTTTTCAGATGTAGTCATTACGATATTATTGTGTAGCATGTGGAATAGCCTACACACGAACTGATAAAGAAATCACAGTTTATATAAATTCTGCAATAAACTAAAATGGTTTTTAATATATGTGTGTATGAATTTTTTTATTATGTTATGTTCCTTAGACAGTTAGTAGAAAACTTTAATGAGCTCCTATTGTAGCAATGCAATTATATCACATTAAACAGTTTGATACCCTGTGTGGCTGAGGATTTCTGAATTAAAGGGATCTATATAATAAGATTCGGTGTTTGTGTGTGTGTGTTACGTAACTCCTTCTAAACCGTTGGTCGCACCGACTTCTAAGTGGCACCAAACGAATCGTCTTGGTCCCAAGATTTGTACAAATGGAGCCAAACAAATTGTCTCGGCGCAGATGTAATACGTTTCACCCAACCCCTTAGGGAAATCAGTAAAATGTTGCGAAAACACTTTTACGGAGATTCCCCGGAATTGGACCGCAAATTTGGCCTTGATTTACATTAAAGCACATAAATAAGAAGGCCTTCTAATTACCGTTCGTAACTTGGTTAAATAGATTAAATTTGCAAAATAGTGGCAATGATTAATAAACTGAGAAAGTGCAAAATAATAGTTCAAGCATTAAATTTGCATTATAGCGACCCTGTAAATGTGGACCATGGGCTCACAGGTTAGCTAATATGTATATAGTTTTGGCTTGAGGTTTAAATATACGTGTGTATTTACAACGTTGTTAACAGTTCAGAATTTTCGGGAACTTGTGGGCTCCATAGAAATCTACCCGGAGCGTTTTTCGACTAATGGAACACACGATATGTAGGATGACAATGTAAGATATCAATCTTAACATTTTTGTAGGATGGCAATATAAGATATCAATCTTAACATTTTTGCAGGGTGGCAATGTAAGATATAAATCTTAACATTTTTGTAGGATGGCAATGTAAGATCTCAATCTTAACCTTTTTGTAGGATGGCAATGTAAGATATCAATTTTAACCTTTTTGCAGGATGGCAATGTAAGGTATCAATCTTAACCTTTTTGTAGGATGGCAATGTAAGATATCAATCTTAACCTTTTTCAGGATGGCAATGTAAGAAATAAATCTTAACATTTTTGTAGGATGGCAATATAAGATATCAATGCTAATCTTTTTGCAGGATGACAATGTAAGATATCAATCTTAACCTTTTTGTAGGGTGGCAATGTAAGATATCAATCTTAACATTTTTGTAGGGTGGCAATTTAAGATATCAATTATAACCTTTTTGCAGGATGACAATGTAAGATATCAATCTTAACCTTTTTGTAGGGTGGCAATGTAAGATATCAATCTTAACAT